TGTCTATAACTAATAGTTATATAACCAGCAACTTACATTTTAACCTATCGCTAACATGGTTTTGTTAAAATTTGCAACTTGCATTGCAGTATGCGAAAACAGTTTATTTATTAATCTCCTTGAAAATTTATGAATGCAACATATAATGTGTAATAATAAGGAAAATAATGGCAACATGCTATAAAGGCAAGATAAAGCTAGACAACTGCGCACAGGAAATTAGCAACTGTATAAAATAGTCAACTCAGTATGAAACTTTCTTAATGATTATCACATCAGCACACTTCTCTGTACACAATGATTGGAGACAGAAGAGAAAAGGAGATATATAGCATTTTGATTTCTAGTCAAAAATTCCTTTCAATGGAGAAATTTAAAAAATCGGTGTAAGGATACATGAATTACCTTTGAATGTCACGTTTTATTACCAAGAGTAAATCAGAAAAAGGATTTCCTAAGCCATTACAGGGAGAGGATGCCCTTCTGTGTTGAATACCCAACTGTCTAGTGATATCACCGAGTTATCCACAAATGTCAAGTAGGCATATTTCAAGGTTTCGGCGAGGAAAAATGATTGCTGGACATCATCATAACCCTGAAACGAGTATGTGTCTTGAGTACTTAGAATGATTAGCTGCAGAAGAAATCAATAGAGTTGTGTACGGTAAACAGTTGCTTTTGAGGGAAGTGCTGCTAAAGAACACCTCAGTTCATGAGTTGACTGCTTTTTCCGAAGGAAAGAAGTTTTTTTGGTACTTATTGAGGTAGCCAAAAGTGAAGACTGACCACCGATGGATTATAAACATTGTAGATTCCTGAAAATCCGCCCTCGACCCGACAGTATTTATCGATTGCTTGAATAGCATCCCACACCCAGTCACGATACATCTGCAAATTGAGGATAATATTTGAAGAAAAACAACTTGTTATAGAAACCCACCTTTTTTCTGGTCAACCTCCACAAATAGAAAAATCCTTCGATTACTTCTGGCCGAAGTATGTAATGGTTCCTGCCAAATCTGCAATCACTTATTTGATAATGTGAAGTTGACAAAACGATAATTCTGGCAGTTATGCGCACTTACTTGCTGGTAGCGTCATCTACTTCGTTAAAATAGAATAAATCTGGTCCAATTCGTGTAGGTGATCTTATATAGCTTTCATGGCAAGTTCGTCCTAGTTCTTCAGCAAGTTTCATAGTAGTTTCCTTCAATTAGAACCGCATATGACTTAAAAGTAACATCAGAATTGTGCTTGCAACAAGCGAAACGATTTGTGTGCCGAGCTTTGTGTATTCAAAGTAGGAAAACATTGACGTAAAGATACATTCTAATAACCAGAAATTATGTTGCTCAAAGTATAATTAAATACTAATTGTAATATGCCATCAAAACCTGAGAGACTACTATTATAAGCGATCAGGTGTGAAATTTACAATGTTAAGCATGCTTGACAATATAGGCACAGAAGAAGCGCTATGTTAATGGGTGCCCAGAACAATGAGACACTTACTCGCTCAGTGTACGATCTTTCATTGACCGCTTGAAGTGCGAACAATCCAACTGAGAAACAAGCCAGGTGTCCCATTTCATGGTGAGGAAGGCCATCATGGAGGTCGGCTAGGTAAGTCAGTCCAGATTTAGATTTAAATATCATCCTTAAATTACAGTGGCTTTTGGAATTTCTTCTTCCAAACTACACGAGTCGTAAATGTAGGAATGCTTTGCGCAGCTTACTGCTCTTGAATAGCTTTGCTGACATCCCAGTACATCCTTCGTGCTTGCTTATTTTTCTTGCCCGATTGTAGCCAAGACTTGATGAGGTACTCGTAGAATGAATCTCCCATTGCTCCCAAGGACCTGGAGATACGGTATGTTCAGATTTTGTGCAATTCCCGCGGTTACGCGAACGGCACGATTTGCACTTACATGTGGTACGGTTTCATCCATTTCCCAGTGGTAGTATCAATGGAATTAGGATATAACCCTTTTACTTTTTCCATCCTGTCAAGAACATCGCGAATTTTTTTCACTTTCTTTGCAAATATTGGTGTTTTAGAAATTTGGCTAAGGTAGGTAAACTCAAGATG